CCTATCATGCTCTTCCCTCAGGTAGCCTTACATGGATCATGGGCTCACCTTTCCAGTCTTCACTTAGAAGACATTTATTTAGAACGGGCCTTCCCTAACAATCTATCTACAACTTCAGTTCCCCCATTGGTCATTGCCTATCTCTCACCTCTGTTTTATAATTTGTCCTTAGCAGGTACCACTATCACTATGTAACATACTCTTTTTATTGATTGCCTGATTGCTGGGTCATTTGCCCTACTCCCCACTAGAATGTAAGCTTCTGGAATAGAGGGCTCTTGTCAGCTTTGTTTACTACTGTGAAATATCTTTTCCAGTGCCTAAAAAAAATATTGAGCACAAAGTAGCCATTTGGTAAATATTTAGCGAATGACTAAATTAAGTCTGTATTTGTTGATGGTCTATCGCCCCCAGTAAAATGTTAGCCCCCTGGTGATGGAGGATTTGTTTTTCTTTGTACTACTTTGTTTCCAAGATAAGTAGGTAAATGTTCTCTATTATTTGTTGAAGGAATGACAATTAATTTGAATTTGGAGGAAGCAGAAAAAGAAGCTGGACTCAGGTATAAATCCAGGCTCCTGGCTTTGATAGCTGGCGATTTTTGAAGTTGTGAGCCAACATAGAAACAGCAAGGAAGAGAGAAACAAAACAAAACAAAACAAAACCATTGACCACATGGTGGGTGAAAGGGAAGATGATTGGTGTTTTTTGTCTTTAAAATTTTTTTCACATATTGAATTTGAGGTAAGTTTCAAAGAGAGTAAGTGTGCTGATGAGAGAGAGAAGGTGGGGAGTTGCCAGTTACTGTCTGATGGTGACTACTCTGTGAAATGAAGAGGTGGTAGGCAAGAGTGAGAGAATAGGAGAGTGAGAAGGTGTTCTAAAAGACAGACGGATCTTGGCATGACTGTGCATATGGGGGAAGGTCCAATAAACAGGTTTATGGGCAGAGTTGAGTATTCAGTTGGGATGAGAGGAAACATATTTGTGATGTAGCTAATCTTCAAAGTTTTACAAGGTGATGATTTTTTTTTCAGCTACGCAGAGTAAATGCAAAGTAATTAATTTGCTAATATATTTCATTACTTATGTTTAGTAATATAATTTTTTAAATTTAAATATAAGGTGTGCATGTATGTGATAAATGATATTTTTTCAGCCAGTACTAAGATGTGAAACTCCCTGTACTATTATTCTAGTCATAGACATAGAAGTTCCTAAAAATACTGTGGATTGTATGAAGGGAAAAAGGATAACCAAAGAGTGACATTTGGAAAGTTATACTACTGATATTCTTTGAAGCAGAGAGTAAGAGGGTGCATTATTCAGTGATGTATACTCAAGGTATAGCCTGTGTCTGAACCTTACTGGACATTCAGTAAATGTTTCTAGAGGGACAATTTACAATTTCATGAGATGCAACACAAACCCAAGGAGAGAAGTGTGTTTTTAATATAAGTCCCACTGACATTTTGAAGAGAAAGATCAATAAAGAAATAGGAAAATAATGAAAACTATTAAAAATATCATATTAAAATAGAACACATAGATAAAAGAGAAAACACAGTTTTCAAGTGCAGAAGGATGAAGCAGTAGGAGAAGTTTCTGATTAACAGAAACAAATCATTTTGTTTGTGTCAAATCACTTGAAAATATCAAGAGCTAACAATGAAGAAGCAAGATGGTCTTGATGTAGAGAGGTAGAACCACAAATCTGGAATCACACGGTGCTCTGTAGACATTTAGCTAAAGGACAATAACCCAGTCTTCCAACAAGTCAATATCCCATGATTATGTTCCAGACTGTACCACAGGCAAGACAATTGCCCAGACCTCCAAAGAGAGCTCCTTGTTTATTTCATTTTCCATTCATTTCTTTTTCGCACAAAGTCCACTTGTTATATAATACTTGTATATCAATGCTTTAATATCTCATCTTATGCTAGACTGTAGCTTCCATGATGTTCATGGACTAGTTTTCCTTTTTAACCCTGAGTATATTAATGCCTGAGAAATAGTGATCATTAGGTAAATATTTGTTGAATGGATTAACCCCAAAGGGTTGTGCAGGCTGCCTTCAGCAGGCTAACAACTCCCTTATATATTTCTAAATGCCAGTATTACATTAATCAATACTCATGATAGGGTTTCTATAGAATTAAGAAAAGCTAAGCTATGAGTAGCACGCTTTGTTTTATTAAGTCAACTAAAGTAGATTTAGAACAAAATATTTAAAATGTTTACTTTTATTTCTTTGTAAAAGCAATTATATTTTGCTTAAATAGTTTAAGTGTTTCTTGTTTAAATGTTTAAGAGTTTTCTCTGAAGTTGTGCTCCTTCTGAAGGTCAAACAACTTTACCCTCACCTGACAATAGAGACAGTATCCTGTATGAACCACATACGGTGAGCTCAAAAAACACAGGTTCTTGAGCCAGAAAACTGGTTTTGAAGCTCCTCTCAGCCACTGATTAGCTGTGTGACCTTGTGCAGATAATTAAGCAGGATAGTAATAGTACTACAAAGTATTGTGTTGAGTTTGAGTTCAATACATGTAAAGAACTTCAGATAGTAGGGGACTTCCCTGGCAGTCCAGTGGTTAGGACTTTGCCTTCCAATGCAGGGTGTGTGGGTTCGATCCCTGGTGAGGGAGCTAAGATCCCACATGCCTCGGGGCCAAAAAAACAAAACATAAGACAGAAACAATATTGTAATGAATTCAATAAAAAGACTTTAAAAATGGTCCACATCAAAAAAAAATCTTAAAAAAAAACCCTTTAGATAGTGCCTGGCTCCTATTAATTGCTTATTAAATATTATCTATTATCATAGTTTACTTTAAGAATGAAAGTGTATATGACACACAAGGTCTAGAAGTATCCTATATGGTTGTTTTCCAATCAATGTGTCATTTACATGTGTATTCTCCATCGAGAACCATCCAAAAAAATTCCTTTTTCTGGATCACCAAAGATCTGCGGCAATTTTTAAATTGCTTACAAGTTCTTGCACTTATTTTGCAGCTATTGGAGGTGCAAAGATGGGAAAAAGAAAGCTTATGTATTATTACCTTGACAAACTGTCTGATGCCCAGAGTCTACTGAGTTGAAAGACATTTTGAGGGAATTGGATTTTCTCCTTACCCATTACAGTTTGTTAAATTTTTCCACAGTTGTTTCAAAACCACAGAATAAGACTGACTTTTATATGAATATAGTTAAAAAGCATATATGGATTAAAGACAAAGTAAATCACTGTTATAAGAAATAAAATGATTCCTTAACATGGATATTTGTCAAAATCTTAAGATACGAGGGCAGTAGTATCTCACAAAAACGAAAGAGTGTCTTTCTACAGGAACCAGTGTGACTCATAGAGTGAATGGGGGAGAGTTTGGTTCCTTCTGTGCTGGGTAGGAGGCAGTGTGGGCTGAGAATGAGAAGAGGAGGCAGATAACTTGGTGTTTCATGTACAGACAAAATTTAGGGCTGGAGGTTTGCTTCTCATTTAGGAGCTGAAGCAGAAGAACATAGGAAGTAATTCCTAGGTTGAATCACATGAGAACCTCTGTTACTGATGATAAAGCAAAATGACGGGTCTTATCGGGTTATGACCAGGACCAAAGACAATAGTTTTTTTTTAAAAATTTGCCTTAAATTTTATTGAAACTAAATTCTTCCAGCTAAAGTAGATTCAAATAGAGCACTTCTTTACCACTAATAATTTCCTTCAATTTGTAGTTTGAAAGTTCCATCAATATAGAAATATATAAACACCTAATCACACTGTACTCTTAATTACCTGGTAGGGAAAACCAGTGTAGTAAGTGTAAAGGAAGTTCAAAAATCATCAATACTCTTTTTGATATTCAATTATTTTGAGGTTTTTTTTTTTTTTTAAAGTGGGACAAGCTGAATATACTGTTTTCAGTTCACTTGCATCTATATCTAACGATAGTGAGAATAAACAGGGGAATAAACAAAAATATAAGGCAGCTGTGCACTATGGGAAAATAAACTCCCTAACCTGCAGTGCGGAAATTTCAAATTTACCTGATGAACTAAGGTTTTAGTTCTCAACTATCACTAAAGATCATTGTTGTATAATTGTTTGTCTGAGTTGCAGGTTTCTCAGTTGTTTATAAAATAATAAAGGACAAAGAAAACAGTACCCCAAGTTTCTCTGAAACCTGAAATTTTATGATTTTATCATAACATGGAATTTAGTATCTGGAATAAGAATATAGTTGGGGGTAGGGAGCTAAGCTACTTATAGTGATTAGAGGAACTCTTTTTATGCAATCTTCAATGGTATATACCAAGCATGTTTACTGTACCTGAAATGTGATGATTGAGAATTCCTTTGCCTTCAGTTTGTGGCTCTTTTAAAAATTAAATGACATCACTGCACTACTAAATGGGGTTCTCAGCTGACTTTAAAAGCACTTTGTTTTAAGACATACATCATAGTTGATTGTCATTTTTCATAGGGCTAGTATTTTGGAGAAAATTATAGTTCAATTTATGTGAATTCTTCGGAGAAGAAAGATAACACCCATAATTTAGAAAAGAGTCAACAGCCATGGAACAGCAAAGGGAAGGGTATAATTAGAGGGTAAATGCAATCTCATACGATGCAATTTGAATAATGGAAGCTTATAGAAATTTGTTTATGGAGATTGAAACTCAGAAACCCAAACAAGTTTGGGAATTATAAACACAATAGTGTCTTATTAACAGTAAAATAATTTTCTAGGAATTCAAATAAAACAGAAAATAAAATGTGTCACATAACTTTTAAATAAGGAGTCACGAAACAAGTGGAAGGCGTGGTTTGAAGTTAGGAAACAAGATAGTTGACATAGTTTTCAAATAATGGGTTCTATTGGGTGATATTTGGAGGTGTGGCTTTCCCCACCCACCAGCATATATAAATGCACTTGCGCAGTCACAGTCCCAAAGCTGACCTACAATACCAAGTCAAACTCACCACTCCCGACACCATGAGCTATTACGGCAACTACTGCCAAGGCCTGGGCTACAGCTGTGGAGACTTTGGTGGCCTGGGCTATGGCTATGGCTGCAGATGTGGCAGCTTCCGCAGGCTGGGCTATGGCTGTGGTTATGGAGGTTATGGATATGGCTGCTACCATCCATGTTACTATAGAAGATACTGGTGTTCTGGCTTCTACTGAATAATTATATGAAGATTTACAATTTGTGGACTTCGTCTTCTGCAAGACTCTGATTCATCTAGAAAACTTTATTCTATAACCTGCTTTCTTCATTTATCCTGTCTTGATAATGAAACTGTTATTTGGACCACCTGGTTTCTGACATTAATGTGAAGACAACTTTATGAACTAGATGTTGGTGTTTGATTAGTGATGCTCTCAGGGATTCTCCTTCTATATAGGATGAAGGGTCACTATACTTTAGCAAGTCTTTGCCTTTTAGCATCCGATGTCTAATAATAAACTTTTTCTGACATAGTAAATGTATTTTAAACTTCAATTTTTAATCAAATTTAAGTTGCTGTGATGTATTAATACAATCATCAACCATGGCAACGTTTTCATCTTATAGCTAAGTAATTTACCAATATGTCTTATTTCATAATTATCTCTTCCTCCTTCTTCTTTTTCCTTTCTTCTTCCCCTTACCTCTTCCTTCTCCTTTTCCTCATTTTCTTCTCCTTTATTTTATCATTCTCCTCTTCCTCCTCATTATCAATATCTATCTTTTTCTTTGCTGGCCAAACACAGGGATTCTATGTCTTAAGGTTGAAGAGGCTCTGTGATGATAATCAAATTTTAGTGTATTGTTTTTTAATTCATTATTCTTTGGAAAGTTTGTTGTTAATTTCAAAACAAAATGATAAGGAAAAACTTTAGCTTGCAGTAAATTATTTTAGAACTCTTGAGAAAATAAACATGAAAGAATTTTATCAAAATATTAACAATTTTTAAGTAGATAATATTTGTTGTAATATTTATTCTTTCTTCTTTTTGGTATATTTAAAATATTTTATAAAATAAAAAATCTAAAATAGAAGCAAAAACCATTTATCTTGAACTCAAATGTATATTATTGTAATAAATTAAATTTATGAAAACTGACCCAAGAGGAAAAAAATCTGAATAGTTCTCTCATATAAAAATTAAATCTATGATTAAAACTCTTCCCAAAATACTAATTTAAGGCCAGAGGTATCTGAGGCAAGTTTGTCCTTTGGTGAGTGATGGAATTTACTGACTAAAAGTGAAAATGAATCATGAGGATTTTCAATGGGTTATTCTATCCAACAGTTGACTATTCTAGGAATGCTAAAAGTGTAAAAGCTTTTAGCATTCCTAGAATGCTAGATATGTTTTATCTAGATTGTTCACTGTAAATGAATCTGAAATTTATGGACCACAGTTGTGTTGAAGATTGGAAATTAGTAATGTAGCCAGATGAAGGCTATGTGAATATCAAACTTTAGATGCTGACTTATCTGAAACCTTCTCTTGCCTATTAGCTTTCCTCACTTGGAAATAAAAATGTGTCTTTTGTGGAAAAGTGGATTCTGAAAACCATATCTTGTAGTTTGAGGTCTGTCATATGTTCATGCAGAGAATACTGTTGCTCCTTTTTTGAGTCCTTTGCTCTCCATTAGTAATGTTGATGCTGTGTCAGACTTGTGTACCATGAGAATATGACAAGTTAAACCTTTGTGGTTGCACACCTATTAATAAATCTAACAGAAATGTGCAATTCTTCTTAATAGTAAATATTAAAACATACTTATAGAGGTTAAAGAAGGTCTAAATATAAGGAAAATATATCATGATTGTGGATCAGAAGAATCATTATTATCTGCCAAATTTGATTTATAGATTCAGTGAAATTATAATAAAAATATCTGAACAGAATTATTTTTTACTACTTTTGTCTTTTAACCTTCTTACTAGCCTTATAAGCAGTTGATCTACTACATTAACATTACATCCTTATGATACTGAATCATCCATTCAACAGAGTATTAAAAAAATTATTCTAGTCTACTTTTAAATCTTTCAGGAATTAAAACACTGAATATAGGTTTTGCAATTTTTTGTTGAGTGTATTCTGAAATATTTTATATATTTTTTTACTTTTGTTAATAGGTATTTCTCTATCATGATATCTCTTACTTCCTTGTGTATATGAAAACTATTCATTTTCTTTGACAATTTTATATTGTGTTATTGATGAATCATTTTAGTTTTTGAGTTAGTTTCATCATTGATTCACAAGGGTTTTTCCAGATATGCTACTGTTTTGCCTGCAAGTAGAGATAGTTTTACTTTTTAAAACCTTTTTCTAGTTCTTACTCATCTATCGATATTTTTTGCCCAACTGCATTTGCTAATATTTCCAGGACAAAGTTTAATACTAGTGCATAGGGTAGGCATCTTTGCCTTTCTCCTAAATTTTGTGGAAATGCCTCTAGGGTTTCACAGTTACCTAAAATGCTAACTTTAAGTCAATTTTATTATGTTAGAAAATTAACCATCAATTCTTATTTTCTTAAATGCTTTTATAAGGAATGAATGTTGAAAGTTGCCAAAAGTTATTCAGCATTTATGGAAACAGTAATATGATTTTTCTCCTTGAATCAATTAATGTAATGCATTATATTAATGAGTGTCCTTATATCGACATCACTTATATTCTTCAAGTAAACTCCATTTCCTTATGATGTATTGTTTTTATGATGGTATTAGATTCTATTTGCTAATATATATGCAGAATTTATGCATATGTAGTCAGAAGTAATATTAGTCTGTAATTTTCTTTCATGTGTGCCTTTTTCTTGATTGAATTTAGATAAATGTTAGATAAGTGATTCAAAAAACATATCTGGAGACTTCATTCATTTTCAGTGCTCTTGAACAATTTATGTTGCATAAGGATTATGTCTTAGAATTTTTGGTAAACTAGCCTTTGAAATTAATGGAACCTCCAGCTTTTTGTGTGTGGAGCAGTTCTTTCTTTTTCTTCTCAAAAATTAGTCTTTAATATTTCTATCTCTAATGGGTTCAATTCTAGTAAAACTTTTCCCCTAGAAAATTATGTATCTTATTCAGGGTTTTCAATTAAAAATTTTTTTTAAACATTAAATTAATTTTTATTAGAGTACAGTTGATTTACAGTGCTGTGTTAGTTTTGCAGTACAGCAAAGTGAATCAATTATACATGTACATATGTCCACTCTCTTTAGAATTCTTTTCCCATATAGGTCATTACAGAGTATTGAGGGGATTTTCAAATTTATTTGAGTAAAAGTCTACAAAGAAGATTTCCCCCTCTCTTTTGCTGTCTGTCTCTCTTTCTCTCTGTAATTATATATGTTTACTTACATTTATATTATATATATATATATATATATTACTTCAATTTATTTATAGTTTTCTTCTTCCTTTAAAAAATTAATTTAGCTGGTAGTTTTCTATTTTTTATTTGTTTCCAATGACCATAACTTTGTGTAATTAATTATTCTATTGTTTGTCTACAAATTTCTGTGCTTTATCTGATCAATAGCTGTTTTGATCTTTATTATACCTTCCTTCTGCTTTCTTTCAGTTTACTTGTTTGTACTTTTATTGCATACTTGTGTTTTACTTATATATGTGCTTAAAACTAAATTTTTTTCTACTATCTTTGTAATGTATACCCCATATTATAATATGTAGCATTTTCACTATCATTATCACCATTTAAAAATTCTGTGATTTGTTTGTATTTTTTTCACTCAAGATTCCATAGTTTTGTGTTTGTTTTAATTTCTGGGTTTTTATTGATTTATATTTATTAATTTCTACTTGTGTTACATTATTATTAGAGAATATTTTAATAATATTCCCTTCATGGAACTTCTTAATGCTTTCTTTGTGGTATAATACATTTTTGTAATGTTTCATACGTACTTGAGAATAATTTTAATTTTTTATTATCAAAATGTAAAGTTATATATAATTTTAAAGTCTGTCACTATTGTTTATATTATTTTGGTCCTCTATATTATTACTTATGCTTTTCCATTTTATCTGTCTTGTTCTGGCATTGCTGTGTTGTTTATGTCTCCATGCATCTCTAGTATATTTTGCTCTATAAAGGTGGTTGCCGTGTTGTTTTTTCATATATAATTGTAGCCATTATTTCTTTATTTTAAAGTGTCTTTAACTTTATACGATGGCTTCCATTGTTGTGTTTTATCATCTGGTTAGATTCTACTTTGATAAGAGAGTTACAAACAACTGCTTTTTCATTCTCCTTTGACTGATATATATATTTGCCTATACATTTTTAAAAAGATAATTTTGTAGAACAGTTGTAGATTTGCAGAAAACATTATGCAGATAGCACAGAGAGTTCCCATAAATCCCACACCCAATTTGCCCTATTATTAACATTTTACCTTAGTACGGTGCACCGTTACAACTAATAATAAATCTATATTGATACATAATTACCAACTAAAGTCCATACTTTATTCAGAATTCTTTAGTTTTTATTTAATATATTTTTTTCTTTTCTAGGATACCATCTAGGGTACCTTAGTGCATTTAGTCATTGCTCCTCTTCACAAGACATGTTCTCAGACTTTCCCTAGCCCCAATTACCCTGACAATTTTCCAGCAGAACTGGTCAAGTGTTCTGTAGAAAGTCCTTCAACTGGGATCCATTCAACGTTTTTCTCATGATTGGAATGAATTATGGTGTTTGCAAGGAATGTGGCAGAGGTAAATTGCTATTTTCATTCCATCATATCAGGAATGCTATCAGCACAAGTTTTCACTGTTGATATTGATTTTGAGCTCTCTGAGATACTGTTTGTCAAGTTTCTTCACTGTCAGAAACTTACTTAATAAAAGATTCATGTGTATCTTTTCATCTTGATAACTCAATGCTTTTTATTGCTGGGTTCATTGTATGGATGTACTGTATTTGTTTACCCATTTACTTCTTGAAGGATATTGCTTCCAGTTGCTGGAAATTATGACAAATCTGCCATAAATATTCACATGCAGGTTTCTGAATAGACAAAAATTTTCAAATCATTCGGGTATATATCAGGGAGAAAGGTTGCTGGATTATATGATATTTTGCTTTTTAAAAAACTGTCAAACTGTCTCATATAGTGGCTATACCATTTTGCTTTCTCACCAACAATGAATGAGTGTTCTTTTTGCTTTTCATTCTTGTGCGCAATTGGTATTGTCATTATCCTTTTCAATAATTGCCTAGTGGTTTCTCATTATTGAATTATTTTGATACTTCTATTATTAGACTTTCTTAATAACAGCTTTAAATGTTTCTCTTGAAAATAATGTTTAATGTTTAAATGTTTTCTCTTGAAAAAAATTTTTGAGTCCAAATAATATTTTAAGAGGTAAATTAAGCTAGTTCATATTTATTAAGTTTCCATTAGGTTTAGTGTCAGCTCTAAAAATCTATTTTTTGTTATAATTACTATTGTACTGTTATATTTACTCTGCTTCTTTCTCTATATATTTTATTTTATTTACTCAATATTTAAAAAATATCTTTAGCTATTTAGAAATGTTTTGATACATTTTTTAGGGGTTGTCAGTGATTAATTATGTATTTTTTGTAAAAAATGTCCTTAGCTCCTCATTTTCTTTTATTAAACTTTTGCTAATTTTTCAGTTTTGAATAATGAATGTCAACTAGTATCGCTTACTTAATCAAATATCAAATAACTTTTTCTACCTTATTATTTTCCTGCTTTTCCTCAATGGAATCATTTGTTTTCATTTGAATCCAAACTTCTTTTTGCATCTTGGAACTTGGTCTTCCTTCTGATATGATTTTATCTTTTAAAAAATTTCTTTCCTGTTTTTCAACTCATTTTATTTCTTCTTATCTCTTTTACATTTAATTTTTTAATATTTAATTTAATATGAAGTATTTCATTAAAGTTTTCTTCTGCTTCTGGAGGGGCAAGTTATTAGTTGAATGCTTCAATAATTATTTTTGTTGTTTTTTTTATATACTTTGTATACTTGAACACTTCTTGCATCTCTGAATTTGTGGATGAGACTGTTAGAGATATTTGCTATTTTTTTCCTATGGATCTGTTCATTTAATAATTTATTAATTCAACTAACAATATATTGCCTACTCCATTCCATTCACAAAAGTATAAAATATGAGTATAATAAGTGTTCTTGCCCTGAAGGAGTAAATAATGTAATGGAAAAGGCAGTAAACAAATTGGTATACTAAAATCTGATGAAATGCAAAGGCAGTCTTTTATCCAGGGCATCTGGTAGCACTCTGAAGGATTTTCTAAATCAGGCAGAGGTAGAAGTAGCTTGGGAAGTCCTTGGAGAAGGTGCTACTTGACCTATCTTTTGAAGGGTGGGTTGGAATAAGATGGGTAAATAAGTATAAAAGAAGATTCCAGAATGAAGGAGCAGCTCCTGTAAAGTCTCAAAAGCATGCAGTGGATTAATAATGTCTTTGTTATTTATGTATGGAATCAAGTGAAATATATGGTAGATTGTTAGAGACCAGGATAGAGAAAAATGTTTGGTGATGAAATACCTTGTTTGTGAATTTAGGAGTATAATTTTTCCTTAATGACTTAGGTATAATGGCTGAAAAATGAAATGATCAGATTTGTGTTTCAGAATGTTCATTTGGACTCAGTATGGAGAACAGATCAGATGAGGGCCCTGCCTTGGGGAAGTGTGACTGGTGGGGAGGCTCTTACATTAATCCAGGAAAAAGTGGTAGAGAACTGAATTAAGTGAAAACAATGAACAGACATGAATATTAATGAATTATCATTTACATGGTTTAGTTGCTGTGGTGTAATATGCACTGAGTAGGGAAGATATTCATAAAATATGAAAGAGAATTAATTCCAAGATCATACTCTGGTATGTGATTTGAATGACTAATATACAGACAAGAGGCAGTTTTGTGAGAAAAAAAATGAATTTAGTACTAAACATGAAATTTGAATGCAATTCAAATGGGACATATCCAGTAAATAGTCAAATTGATGGAGCTGATATTTAGAGAAGCCTTTTGAAAGTAATCGGTATAAGCACGGTTATTAAACACAATATTTATTGAAATTCCATGGGAAAAGTGTATACATTGAATATGGAGGAAAAGGGGCACTTTTAGAGTTAATAAAGGAATAAGAAATTGGGAAGAAGACTAATAAGAAATTGAAAGAGAAAGCTAATTGAACGTTTGCCATAGAAAATAAGGGAAGAAAACTTTAAAAGAAGAATGAATGGGTGAGGAGGGCAAATGCCAAGGAAGGTTCAAACAAACCAAATAACTAACAAAAAACAAAATAAAGAACCAAGAAGGTTTTTTTTGGTTTTGTTTTTGTGTTTTTTAATTTGACTATCTGGAAATCACTAATGACTTTGTGACTATGCCCTGACCACCATGGATAAAAGGTCTTGGGTTCTGGGAATGAACAGTAGCTAAGACAATGGAATAAGAGAAGCAATCTGAGGTTATGTAATTATAGGACCACTGGAAGCTATCAACCAGATTAGACAATTTTAACTAGAACACCAGTGCAGTATGGTCTCTGAAGGGGCTATAATCATTTTTCATCTTGGAAACATTCTGTTTTTAGAAATGCAAACTCATTAAAAAATAATTGTTATTACCAAAATTCCTTTAACAAAAATTTGGACCCTTTGGTAAGTAAGAAAAGAACAATTTAAAGTAATTTTAAGACTTTACATTGTTCTGTTATGTGGAAATAATATCACCTGTCATTGTTTACCAGTCGTACTACTGAGGATATAAAAACATTCAGGGAAGCTAGAGATGGTCACACTCAGGAAATCCCTCTTCAGCACTACATCAGATCTCTAATACTTGACAACATGAGCTACTATGCCAACTATTGCAAAGGCCTGGGCTTCGGCTGTGGAGGCTTTGGTGACCTAGGCTATGGCCGGGGCTGCAGATGCAGCAGCTTCTGCAGACTGGGCCATGGCTGTAGCCATGGAGGCTACAGATATAGCTGCTACGGCCCATCATGCTATGGAGGATATGGCTTTTCTGGCTTATACTAAAAACTTGTAGATCCTCAAACTCTTTCTATTCCCATGCTGTTACTCATATCTTTCAGTGATGTGAACATTTTTCTTGATGTTTAGAAAATATTAATAATTTTTTGGCTTCCTGCTCCAAAGGAACTAGTTTCTTCCTCTGGAAGAATCTGGAATCTTTCCATTGAATCAAGGGTTCATTCATTTTTATTTAGTCACTAACATCTGCTGTGATCAAGTGTAACCTGTATTTTAAATTTTTAAATGAACATATTTAATTGGCATAGGGAGCATGGCTGTATCAATTCATTTTAGTACATTTCTAATGGGTATATGGGATTTCAATCAGGATGTTACCCTCCTTTTCTTTGAATTGGTGTTTTGACTCAACAATGTTTGATTCAATAATGAATTTGATTCAACAAATGTTCACTTCATGTCTCCATGTCCTGAGCATTGTTCTGAGTCTTGAGGATATGGGAGAATAAGATGGACTAAACGCTTGTATACTTTCATGTATCCCATCTTTCATTTTTTTCCAGTGCATTTTGTGTGTGATTTCATTTTTATAAAATCATCTGTACACTATTATTTCTATTACTTAAAAAATTATAACATTGCAAACTTTATTCCAATAGTCATGGTTTTTACTCTCAGGTTTATTATGGCACAATAAATCTATGGTGACCAAAGAGAACGTTTTTAAAATAAAAAAGTTTAAGCTGATACAAAATAATATTTATAGTAAGATGAAAGGTACAAAGGGTGCATTAAATACATTCCTGTACACAACAGTGAATTTTCAAATTTCTAATGTTCTTTATATATAATCAGGTCAATTTTATCTTGAAAGAAGTACATTTTATATTTCATATATATACATATATATGTATACAAGTCTACTCTGCTTCCTTGAAAAGTTAACTGATTTAATTGGCTTTCCTGTTTCCCTACCTATAGAGTGAGGGTCTTACTTCTTAAAAGGTATTTTTTCTCAAAAGTAAGCATTAGGACTGTCTAAATTTAAAACTCCTGGAGTGCATTTACCAGTTTAGTTTCCTGGGGTATACTTTTAGATAATTTGTTTTAATAAATTTGTTTAGATCCTCAGACTTTCTATTAGTCAAAACTTTCTTGGCAAATCACTATTTTAGGTGGTATCCAAGATCTTTTCAATTTCTTATGCTATAGCAATGCTAGATATCACTTTCTATCCTCATCCTCTTCCCATGAACAACATTTTTGTGATAGCTTTCAGATGCTTTGCATATCAAAAAGCATGTTTTCTAAAAGCTAGTACAATGACTTGGTACACTTGGAAGAAGATATGGGGAGAGCTGATATGACAATTACATTAAAAGACAAAATAATAAACTGAAGTTTCTCATCATATGGGTAGTTCATGGAGTGTTTATTTCAAACAAGTTCTTCATAAAGATGGAAATAAAACTGTTCAGTTTATATTATGGTTTCTTGTTTAAGTGCCTTTTTCTACCAGATGGTTATTTGATGAGTTTTGGAGGCATTTTTCTGAAACTTAATTTTAACATTCACATGCTTATCGGGGAAACTGGGTTCCTGGTGAATTTTCAAATCATTTACTTTTTTTTTTTTTTGCGGTACGTGGGCCTCTCACTGTTGTGGCCTCTCCCGTTGCGGAGCACAGGCTCCAGACATGCAGGCTCAGCGGCCATGGCTCACGGGCCCAGCCGCTCCGCGGCATGTGGGATCTTCCCGGACCAGGGTACGAACCCACGTCCCCTGCATCGGCAGGCGGACTCTCAACCACTGCGCCACCAGGGAAGCCCACAAATCATTTACTTTTAATCTTTTTATTAAAGTAAAATTGGAACTAAAACTGGCAAAATAATTTCTCATTATTCAACCAGACTTCATGTTACTGCTGATCATTTTCTTTCAAGTACAAAAATAAGGAAATCACCTTTAATAAAATAAACAAGCATTTTCTCTTGACCTTTAGATGCTGAAAAATGTATGCTGTTTCTTAACTTAATAGTTAAGTGTGTCAAATTGTTGTGAAATAAAATTGTACCTTTTTTATTAAGACAGTGAATTTGGATCTAAAAACAAGCTATTCCATGTTTATTTCCTGGATTGGAGAAATATGGAACATTTTTGTTATTGCCTTTCATAGTAATTGTGGATTGGTGGGATGGACAATTAGTATCTCTATTATAGTGCAGGCTTTGAGGTCAGGGTCTATATGAACCCCTTGTATTAATATACTACCCAACACAGAGAGGTGCTTAATTAATATTTGTTAAAATATATATATATATATATAAAATTTTGTGATCCAAATAAGTTACTGAATAGGATCTCGAATGACAGAATTAAAGTACTAGCTGAAGAATGGGCAAGGCATTAACAATTGATTTCCAACATCCTGTTTAGAAACCAAATTGTATTTTTAACTGAATATTTTGATTCTTAAAAGTTGACTTTTGGGGCTTCCCTGGTGGCGCAGTGCTTGAGAGTCCGCCTGCCGATGCAGGAGACGGGGGTTCGTGCCCCGTTTCGGGAAGGTCCCACATGCCGCGGAGCGGCTGGGCCCGTGAGCCATGGCCACTGAGCCTGCGCGTCCGGAGCCTGTGCTCCGCAAATGGGAGAGGCCACAACAGTCAGAAGCCCTCATAACGCAAGGAAAAAAAAAAAAAAAAAAAAAAAAAAAAAAAGTTGACTTTTGATATATTCCCTTCAGATAATTTGAATCAGGAGTGAAGTGATACAAGTCAAACTAAAGCCTCTTTGTTTGTTTATATAACTTTAAGAAAACCTTAAGGCTAATGTCTTTCATAAATGATTATGAAGTTGCAAAATTCTACTTCCAAAAGCAAAGTATATTTATAAAAAGAAGAAAATAATATTTCTCAGCAAAAATCAGAGAGTTATTGATAGGGTAAGAGGAAGATATGCATGTGAAAGTGTTTTCGAATTACTAATTTTTATAAATAAATTATTTTGCAAAGCCTTTTTGGTGTAGCTTATTCAGAAAAATACATAGATGTTTAAAAATTTTTGTACTAAGTATATCTTTCAAATGAAATTCTGCTACCTTTAAAAATGAAAATTCTGATCTCTAGATTTCCTAGTAGGTCAAAGAGATTTGCTCTTTATCATATGTGTTTCACCTTGGGTTAATCCTGTGTCTGAGAATTCCTTCAGGAAGTAATATAATTGGTGCCTTTTTAGGACATTTCACACTAGAAGATCAAAAGGTCAAAGATTTGAGGGCTTACTTACAGATGTCTTAGGTAGATGAAGTTTTATAATGTTGACACGTCTACCATTTAAGGAAAAAAGGACATTCATTTCATTTGTGAAATAACTGATGCATAATTTAAATTTACATTTTGTAGTTTGAATATAAAAATGTTTCCTGTTGACCCATCAGCAATAAAACTGTTGTTTCATATTATCTTTCTAGTACTAATAATTAATATCTACTAAATAATTCAAATCCTGTCTCCTTGATGTTTTTATTATAAAATGAAATTTGGAGCTGTGGTCCAATAAGTAGACAACTATCAGAGGAAACCTAATTATCTTTAATGACACGGATTTTTTTCACTGATTTGTATTTCCTTTGACACAAACATATCCAACAAGTCCCAGACAAATACGACATAAAGGTAAATGGACACACCATTCCATTTCCATTTTCCTAAAGTATCTAAACAAGAGTGTTGTGTTAGGATGATTTTTTTGTCATGTTTCCTTTGCTGATGATTTTGTAAACTGAAGATCAAGTGTTAAAAAAGAAATTGTGCTGAAGATGTTAAAAAAAATAAAATAAAGTAAAAAAAAAAAAAAGAAATTGTGCTGAATTCTCATATGACCCCAACAAATCAAGTAAATTGAATGGACATTCAATGCAAAATTCACTGTCAGGCCTTTGGGAAAATACTATTAAGTGTATTGTCAAAAATAATACAACAACTTATTTTATAAAAAGAGGAGAAACTTGATTATGGCAGAACATTTAAGCAACTCGATTTTAGTAGGAAAAAAATAAATTGTTCAAACTCTTAATGGAGTAGAGTGAAGTGGAAAAGTGGCATACTTGGGGATTTTGAACAAGTATCACCAACATTTTTTCAATCTTAAAAACTGGAAAATTTGTTATAGTTTCCTATGATATTGACTTCATCCAGTGAAGAGTGTACCCATTATTTTGAATAGCAATGAGATATGATACCTGGCTAGAGGTTTTTACAGATATCAGTCATCTTATGTGTAGTCTTTGATGATACCACATTCATTGTCAGCATAAACACAGAGCATTTCATTGGAATCTGTGTCGACAGTCCTAAATTTAGAAGACAAAAGATTAATGAGATTTTATTCATGTCATTGAGCCATGGAATGAGAATTATGCAAGTCTGGTTTTGTTGTCACACCCTTTTCTGAGCTATATAAGTCTATGGGCAGATAATAAAATTCATACCTAAAAAACAACATTCATATTACATATATATATATATATATATATATATCTCCAACCCTAGCAACTACTATGGTGGCCTGAGCTATGGCTGTGCCTGTGGTAGCTTTAGAGGCTTAGGGCTTAGGATATGGCCTTGGAGACTATGACTATGGTTCTAGTTAGGGAGGTTATAGATACAGCTGTTGCCACCCCTTGTGCTATGAAATATATCAATTCTCTGGCTTCTATTGAAAAAGAAAAAAGACTGGTGCTTTGGGACTTTAGAATCCTAATACAACCCTACTGTTTGTTCTTCTTTCAAGTCTTTCTATTTCCATCAAAATTCAGATGCTGCTCTGACCACCTGAGGTAACTCAGAGTTCAGCAAGAAGGGAGAACACTGATTTGACAAAGATTTTCCTAGACTGTTTATAATATGTGACTGTGTTTTATTTTTCTTTCTCATAAGCCATAATAGGGTAATGGTGAGAGAGATTATTGGTCTTTATTTACCTGAAGATTTATATAGAATTAGTTGAAAGATGATTGAACTAAAGGAAAACAAAAGACTGAAGGGAAGCCCTTTGCAGGTGCTTTTGAGATTAAGTTGCTCTGAACCATAACATGAGCTCGATAAATATCTGTTGCATAAAAGAACTGATTAGTGAGAAAGGGGGAGGTAATTAAAATTTCTGACCTACTATGTGTGAGATATTTTGCAAGGTGTTTTATATATTTTTTATTGTTTGATTTTCATAATACTTCAAAACATAGGAAGTGAAGTATAAAAAGTTTCTTTTTAAAAGTATAAAAATTCTTCAAACAACTTTAAAAAGTAGTTAGAATATTGGGAAAAATACAGGTCTGTGAGCAAAGAGACTTGGATTTATATCCTCTCTTTACTACTGACTAATTGTATGATATAAGGCAAGTTTCTTAACTTTTTTGATATATTTTTAATTAATCAAATCTGATGATCATTTTTATTTTAAAATTCTGTTTTAAAATAAACCTACCCTACACTACACACACATGCATGAAAGCAAATTAGTATATTATGGTGCATAAGACACAGTAGGTGATTGTATTAATTTCCTAGGACTGCTGTAAAAAATCACCAGTGCTTGGGTGTCTTAAAACAAGAGAAATTTATTTTTTCACAGTTTTGGAGGCTAGAAATCCAAAATCAAGTTGTCAGCAAAACCACACTCCCTCTGAAACCTGCAGGAGAATCATTTCTTGCCTCTTCCTAGTTTCTGGTGATGTGCTAGCAGCTGTTGGCGTCCCTTGTTTGCAGCTGTATAGCTCCAATCTCTCCCTGCATCATCACATGCTGTTCTCCCTCTGTGTTTCTACATCTTCTTCTATAAATGTCTGTCACTGTCCAAATTTCCCCTTCTTATCGGGACAACAGTCATTAAATAATAGCATTGAATTAGGGCCCACCCTAATGATCTTGACTTCATCTCAAGATGGTTAAGTCTGCAAAAGACCCAATTTTCAAATAAAGTCACATCCACAGGTATGAAGGGGCAGGTTACATCTTGAATATATCTTTGGGGGGGGGAAAGTTTAACTAAGAATAGTGATCAATATTCTGTTTAACATTATTTTATTTAGATCATGTAATTAATAGATGATTGAATAGAAACATATAATTCAACATAAGACTTTTGATTTCAGTCTTAAAATTCTTTCCACAATTCTAAGCATCTCTTCCTATAACTGAAAGACATTTAAGAAGAGAAAATGATGACTTTGATTTAGAATAGAGTGTGTTTAAACTGACAATTAGACAGCCATTTATAACTGCCCATTAGAGAGCTTGTGGTTTAATTTATAGCCTCTCATAAATATGTACAGTGAAACAGCCTCATGAGCAAAAGCAGAGGTATTAGCCCAAGGCAGCTTATAATTGATTTCAGAGAACATGTTTGTGATTTTTCACTAGTTGTTCAAATTAATGATGTAAATCAAGATCTTTCCCCAAATTTTCATTGCCAAAAAGATTTCAGCTTTTTTAGGTTATGTATGCTTTTCTCCACATCTTTCTTCATGTACCCTATGTAGACAACTCTATCGAACTAAATCCTTAACTCCTAACATCATGAGCTACAATAGAAATTACTAAGGAGTTCTGGGTTATGAGTGTAGAGATGGATGCGGCAGCTTCCATAGACTGGTATATGGATGTGCCTCTGTGTATGGTGGCTATCATACAATTTGTTGTTTGTTCTCTGGCTTCTACAGAATTACTGTCGTGATTATCTGATAACTGGTTACCAGAAGTAGACTTGACAGAGTAAACTGCAGACTACACGGTCACCATTAGCCTGATAGATTCAAATTCTGGCCCACTACTCCCTAACTCTGTGAACTTGAGCAAGTTAATCTCTGTATGCTTTCATTTTCCCGTCTGCAAATTGTGTTCAGTGCCTGTCTCATATGGTTTTGACAGTTAAATAGAGGTGGCTCCTAATCATGGAATTGTGATGTTTAACTGAGTTGTTTATTTTATTTTAAATAAAAATGTGGTGTTTATAGGACTTAGCAATAAATGACCATTATGTTTCATTTCTTTAATAAGAAAGACACTTAGTTTAAAAAAATTGTAAGCAAACATGGCTTTTGCTTCCATTCATTTATTTCAACAGATTATTTTTATTTTTTTACTTCTGCCAAAATGAGCTACTAAGAGCAATTATGGTTGTCTCTTGGGCTATGGCTGTGGATATGAAAGCTTAGAGACCTGGACCATTCCTTTGCTGGTTTCAGCTATAGCTCTGGGTGACTGTGACTATAACTGCTGTTGCCAACCTTGTAAGATAGAATTATTAGGTTGAAAGCTTCTATTGAAGGACTACCATATAATAAATGTGATATTTTAAGTTAGTATCAGTAACTTCAGTTAGTGTCCAAGAATCAGTCAAATGGCTCAACAAAAAATAGAGACAGATGGTTTGAAAGTGTGAATGTGGATTTTGCAAAGATTTTTTTTTTATAAACTTATTTATTTAATTTATTTATTTTTGGCTGCATTGGGTCTTTGATGCTGCTCACGGGCTTTCTCTAGTTGCGGTGAGCAGGGGTTACTCTTCATTGCAGTGTGCAGGCTTCTCATTGTGGTGGTTTCTCTTGTTGTGGAGCACGGGCTCTAGGCATGTGGACTTCAGTAGTTGTGGCATGTGGGCTCAGCAGTTGTGGCTTTCGGGCTCTAGAGCACAGGTTCAGTTGTTGTGGAGCACGAGCTTAGTTGATCTGCGGCATGTGGGATCTTCCCAGACCAGAGATTGAACCTGTGTCCCCTGCATTGGCAGGTGGATTCTTAACCACTACACCACCAGGGAAGCCCCAGATTATTTATTTTGGAAGAAATATATTAGTGTCCTGTGAGTCCGCTTCTTGAAGGGAAATAGGGTATTCTCTCTCCCTTACTTGAATGAGCAGGATTTTAAAACCACTCATAATGCACTATATTATTTTTCTTCAGTTATGTGCACAATAGATAAAGGTCTGACTCTTATCTGTGGACTAACTCTAATGGGTAAGAGACTTCTGATTTTAGTCTGTCTCCTCTAATAATGGGACTAAAGGAAAGGAGGCTACTTTGGCATCAGGCAGTAATACTGGAAACCATCAGGAAAAGAATACATGTGTAATTTATAAAATCCAAGTAAGAACTCATTGATGGAACCAACGTGGAACCACTTTTTGGTGCAGCCAAGAGTACCATTTGGCATGCAATATTAGACTCTAATGTCATATTAATAGTGACTTTATAAATACATACTGATTTATATAATTCTGCATAAGTTTTTCCTTTGAGGTACTAAATAGATATGTAGCTAGTGTGTTTGATTTTTTTCTGTAATCATAATTTTTCTACAATTTTGGAATGCTTTCAGTGATGAAGCTATGTTTTTCTAGTGAGGGTAAATTTGGTGTTTAAAAATATTTACAAGTAACTAAGGTACACAAATATTCATAGCAGCTTTATTTTTGGTTGCCCAATGCTGGAACAACCTAAATATCCTTCAAATGGTGAATAAACTGTGACACATACATGCAGTGGAATTCTACTTACAGTAAAAAGAAGATTCAATAAATTCAATAAATTGCACAAACCTCAAAGTCATAAGTTTGGATGAGAAAAGCCAATCTTAAGAAATTGCATAGCATATGAGTCCTCTTATTTGAGATTCTCTAAAAGTAAAAGCTATAGTGATAATAAACAGAGTAGTTGTTGACAAGGAATATGGTCAGGAAGATGATGTCACTATAAAGCTATAGTATAAGGGAGTTTTGGGAGTGATGGAGCTGTTCTGTATCTTTATTGTGGTTGTGGTTATACAAATATGTACATGTATAAAAACTCAGATCTACACACCAAAATAAAACAAAATACATTTAATATATGATAATTTAATGAAAATTAAATTAAAAATAATGAAACTTTTAGGCTCCTGATTTTAGTTTAGAGATGTAGAAGGTTAGAAAGTGGGAAACTATGAAAACCAAAATTTTCTTGACCTAATAGAGACTAAAATTGTAAGTCAAATGACCATCCTGAAATTTGGAGATAGGTGCCTTTGGAGAAACAAGTTCCAAGCATTTTCATCCCTTGGGAAGATGCCACAGGATGCATTTAAGTCAGTAGAAGATTAAATCAGATGTTTTGACAAAGGTCAAGTGTGGGCTAGTTTGAGAGTAAGAAGTTTGGGATGTCACATTCATAGGGGGTTCAAACAATGTTGCTTGTTTTTCTTTCAGGAATTTCATGATAATTACAGAGAACTATGGAGAATCCATAGAAAGGATTCTCCCTTCTCCCTCTCCCTCCCCCTCCCCATTGTGTTGCCTGGGGAAGGGAGAACAGCAGATGAATAAAAGGCTTAACCTGTAGGTAGAAGAACAAGGAGGTTTATACTCTGAGCACACTAGCGGAACATCATTGTAACCAGAAGAACATGAAGACATCACCAAAATCCTATCCCCCCAATTTTTTTTTTTTCACCCCAAGGTAAAAGAGAAAATCCTCAATCTGCAAAGGGATGTGCTTCAAACCCATAGCTAAAAGACATCTGTGGATAACCACTGCATGCAGGAGAAAAGAATGGAAAGAATTAAAAAAAGAGAAGCTTCACATCTAAAGAAGGATAAGACTCTTCTGAAGGCCACACCCCTGAGATCCAGACTCCAAAATCTGTCAGTAATGAAAACATCAGTCTCACTCTTTTTCATCACTCCCACAG